CTCACGTATGATGCCAACAAGTGGGAGTTCCCTCGGGACAGGCTGAAGCTCGGTGAGACGTGACACAAGCTGCTGTTCCCACACCCAACAGGGCATTACATGTTGCAAGCAGGAATCTGAATCAAATCAGCCACTTGGTCAACTTGCAGAGAAGTAATAGATGAGTAAAGAGACAAACTCCAGATCTACCCGTAATTATAAATTTAACATTTCTGACACAGATCATTTGTTGAGGAAAACCTGATTATTAAGATTATTTCCGCTACAGGAACACATCACATGTTAGGCTTAGAAATGTTAGTTGAAACCATGGACGTAATTTTGGGGGGGGGGACAGGGGGGACATGTCCCCCCCACTTTTTCCAAAGTCAAGTTTTGACCCCTGCACTTTTTACCATCCAAAAACAATATTATGCTATATTAAATTGACACTGGTTGAGCTCTAGGACCATGTGGAAAACAACCATTTGTGTTGAAGCCTGTTTCCCATTAGAGCATACTGTAAAGATACACCCCCCCCCCCCCCCCCCCCGTCCCCTCCACTTCTAAAGTGAAAATTACGTCCATGGTTGAAACCTAAAATTTCAGGAAGTCAGGAACGTGTGTGTGTGTGTACTGTTTTTGCAATTTTGTGCTCTTGACAATAATCACATATTACAGGGGAACCTCTGGGCCGAGGTGCGTTTGGTCAGGTGGTAGAGGCGGCTGCGTTTGGGATAGAGAAAGCCACCACATGCACGACTGTTGCAGTCAAGATGCTGAAGGGTTCGTCTTTTCTGTCACTTTCTTTATTTAAAACAAACTATTAAAACCGCAAAGAAAATCTGGAAAACTGCCATTTTTTCTCACGGTGTTGCAGAGGGAGCCACTTCTAGTGAATATCGTGCCTTGATGTCAGAGCTGAAAATACTCATCCACATTGGACACCACCTGAATGTGGTCAACCTGCTGGGAGCCTGCACAAAGCCTGGGGGTGAGTCTTCATCTGGAACAGTCTTAAGTAACATCTTTACAAGAGTTTCATGCTTTTTTGTGAGTAAAACGTTTGCACACGTTTCTGTGCTAAGCTTTGTTTTTGCTCGCAGGGCCGCTGATGGTGATTGTTGAGTACTGTAAAAATGGAAACTTGTCCAGCTACCTGAAGAGCAAGCGGGGAGAGTACAGCCCCTACAAGGTAAAGACCACCAGACTCCGTTGCTTTAATTATCATTATCCAAAATTAATACTCTGGCATTTATAAAACTGTTTATCAACCGGTTGCTTTGAATCTGGGGAGCAGAGAAAGCGAGTGAACAGCCAGAGGTGGGCCTCTGTAGAGGAGGACGTGACTGAGGGGGATCTGGGTTTGGGGAAGGTTGCCCAGCTGGATATCTGCACAGGCACAGCTGAAGACAAAGCTCCAGGCAGCAGTGTAGACCCCCACAAAGGTCCTAACACAACTCCTCAACCCTCTTCATTCCTTGTGTGTGGTGTTAAAGCCAATCAGGCTTCTCAGTTCGGTCTACAATCTCCATCTTATGATTCCAGAGAGTTCCGTTGATGACCACCTGACCATGGAGGATCTGATAAGCTACAGCTTCCAAGTCGCCAAAGGAATGGAGTTTCTGTCCTCTCGCAAAGTAAGATCAAAGCAAACGACAGGGACGGTGCTTTCTCTTTGGTGCTTTGGATGCTCATTCCTGTTTCCTCTATAGTGCATCCACCGAGATCTAGCAGCCAGAAACATCCTGCTCTCAGAAAACAATGTGGTGAAGATTTGTGACTTTGGCCTTGCCAGAGATGTCTACAAAGACCCTGACTATGTCCGCAAGGGAGACGTGAGTCCTCTGAACTGATGCAAAAGCTAGTTGAGTGTAGAAGATCTGATCTCTTTGTCCTTGCTACAGGCACGTCTTCCTCTGAAGTGGATGGCTCCTGAGACTATCTTTGACCGAGTTTACACCACACAGAGTGATGTTTGGTCCTTTGGCGTTCTTCTCTGGGAGATCTTTTCCTTGGGTAAGCCCGATACCAATCACATATTCAAAAAGACATAGTTGCTGCTGGTACTTGTGTCCCATCACGTGTCTCATAACCCCTGCAGGAGCTTCTCCCTATCCGGGTGTCTGCATCGATGAATCTTTCTGCAGGAGGCTGAAGGAAGGCACAAGGATGAGACCTCCAGAATACGCCACCACGGAAATGTGAGTTCAAACATAAAACCGCAGTAAAACTGTTTAATGCACTGAGGCTTAAGTCGACACCCGCTCTTACTTTGATCCAAACAACCAAACTAAACAGATACCAGACCATGCTGGACTGCTGGATGGACTGTGCCACAGACAGACCCATGTTTGCAGAGTTGGTTGAACATCTGGGCAATCTCTTACAAGCCAGCGCCCGTCAGGTTTGCTCCAGTGCAAACAGAAACATTTTGGATCCTCTGGTGGTTTTACTGTCAGCTACAGTTAGAGGCAATGCTATGTGTGTGTTCTCAATCTCCAGGATGGGAAGGATTACATCCCCCTGACAGCAGGTGAAGCAGAAGGGCGCTCCGTGCCCACAGATCCCAGAGGTCCCTGCAGTCGGCCTCAAAGCGGGAACCTGATAGAAACTCACTATGACAGCCCAACATGTCTTGGGTCAGTGATGTTACCCAACACTGTCCACTTCACCTCTTACTCCTAAGAATCACACACTCAGACGGTGTCCTCTGCACAGGCTGTCCCAGCAGAGTGAGAGGCCCCTCAGTGTAAAGACATTTGAAGACATCCCCATGGTGCACAGCAGTGTGATGGTGAGTCCTTTCTCTCCAATATTAAATTAGCTATGAACTAGAACTCTGCTTTCCTATTACAATAAGAGTTTAAATACCACAAACATGTTTTGTCACATACAATACACAGAAATGACTACATTCTTGGATTAAATTAATAATAAAAATAAAAATAATGGCCACGTTTCTAGTGATTTTCATACACCAACAAAAATCTCACAAACGAAACAAAATTCCACCCGTCCATCCATTTTCATACGCTTCTCTGGAGCCGGGTCATGGGGGCAGCAGCCTAAGCAGAGAGGCCCAGACTTCCCTTTCCCCAGCCACTTGGACCAGCTCCTCCGGGGGAGTTTAAAGTCCCTCCAGCGCTTCCTGGGTCTTCCTTTAGGTCTCTTCCCAGTTGGACTTCCCCCAAAACCCTCACCAGGGAGGCGTCCAGGAGGCATTCTGACCAGATGCCCGAGCCACCTCAACTGGCTCCTCTCGAAGTGGAGGAGCAGCGGGTCTACTCCGAGCCCCTCCCGGATGACCGAGCTTCTTTCAAACCCTGCGTAACAAAATTGACTTTCGCAAAGGATTTTCTACATGCCAAGTCTTATATTTCACAAGATTACAAAACTATCACACGTGAAAAGTCTGAATTAATTTAGATATTAATGTTCATTAATATTTGTTCTACTATTGAAAACTAAAGTGTGTTATTGGAAAGAACAAGCCCATTGCTGCCCTTACAAACGGACACTTTATTCAGTTTGTTTCTGAGGGAAAGTTATGAAAGATTACTAACACAACTGTTGCAGATTGCTTCTTGAATAACCTCTTTGGAGACTAATGAGCTAACAGCTAATCATCATAGCCAAGACCAAAAAGTCTGACATTTCCCTGATTTGCTGCTCTGCAGGAGGGTCACACAGACAGTGGGATGGGCTTCTCTCCCACAGTTTTAAACCAGCAGCTGCCCACCATGCCCAACTTCAGGTGAGTTGAAACGAGCACATAAACCCACAAAGTTCATGCTTTATCTTGACGGGAGCCGTGATTTATTTTCGTCCTTTGATTTGAACTACTAGCCAACTCCTGCGATCCAAGAGTAAAGAGTCAGTGGCTTCAGAGTCGTCCAATCAGACGAGTGGTTATCAGTCGGGGTACCACTCTGATGACACAGATGCTCCGATCTATGCTAATGAGGAGGTGATCCTGAAGCACACCATGCTGAAGAAATCTCCGCTGCCCAAGACGCCTGAAATTGAGATCCGCTACAGCACTCCACCCGTCTGACACCACCTATTCCTCACTGACTTTGGGACTTTATCCCAGGTCCTCTCGCCGTACAGACTCAATTTACTTTTCACTACAAGACCAACAAAGCAGCGGGAACAATAGTTGGCTTTTAGGCATTTTCCCAATAAGGAACCATTACAGGTCAACAGTGAAAAAGGAAGGTTGTGTGATAACTCGCTCTGGACAACCGGAGGATTGGTATCATGTTTACGTAGCGAGTGAAACATTTAAGGAGCACAAACAGAGGACATATTCTGAGGCTCAATCTGCTCACTTCCTCTGCAGGAAACGACATCTGGAGTTCTAGATAATCGAATCGTGGAGTGTTTTTTTTCTGACGTTCATCTCGATCTTTGGTGTGCTCAAGTTGGAGCGATGTGTGTGTAGAGTCCTTTTGTACAGTTATTGTATTCATGCTACTTACAGTATTCTATTGAACATGGATTACTAAACCTCAACTTAATGTAATTAATGTTTAAAAATAAAATACTCACAGATTA